AAAAAATAGCTGGGCGTGGTGGCAGACACCTGTAATCCCAGCTACTCAGGAGGCTGAGGCAGGAGAATCGCTTGAACCTGGGAGGTGGAGGCTGCAGTGAGCCAAGATCACACCATTGCATTCCAGCCTGGGAGACAAGAGGGAAACTCCATTTCAAAAAAAAATACAAACAGAAATATTAGCTGGGCATGGTGGTGTGCTCCTGTAATCCCAGCTACTTGGGATGCTGAGGCAGGAGAATGGCTTGAACCCAGGAGGTGGAGGTTGCAGTGAGCCAAAATCGTGCCACTGCCCTCCAGCCTGGGTAACACAGTGAGACTCCATCTCAAAAAATAAAAATTAAACAGCTGGGCGCGGTGGCTCACACCTGTAATTCCAGCACTTTGGAGGCCGAGCGGGTGGATCACGAGGTCAGGAGATTGAGACCATCCTGGCTAACACGGTGAAACCCCATCTCTACTAAAAATATTATAAAATTAGACGGGTGTGGTGGCAGGCGCCTATAATCTCAGCTACTCGGGAGGCTGAAGCAGGAGAATCACTTGAATCCGGGAGGCGGAGCTTGCAGTGAGCCAAGATCGCACCACTGCATTCCAGCCTGGGGGACAGAGCAAGACTCCGTCTCAAAAAATATATAACAATAATAATAATAAATAAAAATTAAAAATTTAAAAATGTAAAAAAGAAACCTGCATCCCTGCATCCTACTCATCCAACCAGAAAGGGGAGGAACTGACTAAAAGTGGTGTACACCAGGGGGAAAATAAGCCAGCAGTCCCTGAATTCCAAATCAGAACCAGCCTTGAATGCTAAGGGAGCGAGACCTGAAGCCTCTGCCTCCTGTCCCAGAACTCAGGGAAGTCTGCAAATGAGACGGAGGAAGAAATGTCTCTGGGTCCCGGAGAACTCACAGTACAGAATCTCATAGTCCCCGGAGTTGGTGACAAAGCAGCTGCTGTCCTGGGCCCAATCCAGGTGGGTGATAAAACTGGAATGGCCCTGCGGGGGAGGGAAGGGATGGTGTTAGAGCTGCAGAGGGCGGAACCAAGGAGAGAGGGGGACAGGATTAAATCAGGAAAGTGGAAGGTCAAATACAGAGGTAGGGCAAGAACACAATGGGACTAAAGGAAGGATACACAGGCCTGTGGAGTGTGGGGGCAGGGCCAGACTACTGTGGGCGGGGCCAGACTGTGATGGGCAGGGCTAGACAAAAAGCACTTAGAACACAATGGGAGTTTAGAACAGGTGGGCAGAGCTAGACACGGAGGAGCTGGCTTTGAATATGAGGGGCGGGTCTACACAGAGGGGCGGTCTCGGAACGTGAGGGGCGGGGCTACACAGATGGTGAGCTTAGCACGTGGGGGCGGGGCTACACAAAGGGGCGGGCTTAGAACACACGAGGTGGTGAATGTGTGGGCGGGGCCAAGACTCCTTGCTCTGATCAGGGCACAGTCAGTTGAGTGTTGAAAGCTGCGCTCCCTTGAGGTAGAAAATTGGTTAATTCTGCACCCCCTGGGCGGGGTGGCGGCGCGGGCTGGGGGCCACTGCCCACTCACCGAGCACTTGCCCAGGCGGCTGACCTTGCGGCCGCCCTGGTCCACCGTGTACACGTACACCAAGTTGTCGTGGGAGCCCACGGCCAGGTACGCCCCGTCTGGGGGAGGGGGAGGGGGGCTATGAGGAGGCACCCAGGCTCCGCCCCCTCCTTGCCCAGACTCAGCCCCCTCAACAGTCCCCAGCTCCATCCCCACTGCGTCCCTCATAAGCCTCCCTTCGAAGGCTCCACCCCTCCCCCTGCCAAGAACTCTGAGCCTCTGTCCCCTGGCCCTGCCGCTTGGGTGTCCCAGGCCTGCCGCTTACCTGGGGAGAATTTGACCACTGAGATCTGTTCATTGCCGTCTGTGTGGATAGCCACCAGGTCATGGGTCTCCGTGTCCAGCAGCAGCCATCTTGAAGGAGAGGGCGTGGTGGGGGGGAGGAGGGGTGAGATGATCTGACAGAGAGGGGCGGCAATTTGTGGGGTCTGAGGGAGGGATCAGAAGGACCCCAGAAAAGATCTGGGCTGGACACGGTGGCTCAGGCCTATAATCCCAGCACTTTGGGAGGCCGAGGTGGGTGGATCACTTGAGGTCAAGAGTTCAAAATCAGCCTGGCCAACATAGCGAAACCCCGCCTCTACTAAAAATACAAAAATTAGCCGGGCGTGGTGGCGCATGTGCCTGTAATCCCAGCCACTCGGGGGGCTGAGGCACGAGAATTGCTTGAACCTGGGAGGCAGAGGTTGGAGTGAGCTGGGATCATGCCACAGGACTCCAGCCTGGGCAACAGAGCAAGACTCTATCCCAAACAAAACAAGGCCAGGTGCAGTGGCTCATGCCTGTAATCCCAGCACTTTGGGAGGCTGAGGCAGGCGGATCACTTGAGGTCAGGAGTTCAAGACCAGCCTGGCCAACATGGTAAAACCCCATCCCTATTAAAAATCAAAAAAATTAGCCAGGCATAGTGGTGGCCACCTGTAATCCCAGCTACTCAGGAAGCTGAGGCAGGAGAATCGCTTGAACCTGGGAGGCGGAGGCTGCAGTGAGCCAGAGGAATATTGAGGGATCGGGGCTTGCTAAATAGTGGGATTTGGGCAAGTAGGAGAGAGGGCAGAAGGGCCAGTTACCCAGGGAGCAGAGAAGCCCTCCTGAAATGCCCTCCTCAGCTTTACCTGCCAGTCACTGTACCCACAGCCAGGACAGAGCCACTGGGGTGGAAGCCGGCTGAGCGGGCAGGGTCCTGAGAAGGGAGAGAGAAGAGGCAGGGCTCAGAGCTGGGGCCCCATGTCCATCTGGCCATTCTCCTGCCTCAGGGCCAAGACTAATCTTGGGATGAGGGCTCTCCCCTC